CCCCACCTGTAGCTTCCTTTAACTATCTGGGTACCTAAACCCCTTAGGGTCGAGGACTCCGCGCTGCCATCCCAAACGCGAGGCCTAAACCCCAAAGGCTGTAAGTCCTAAACCAGAACCCTATAATTCGGTTTAGGGTTTAGGGTTTAGGGTCTATAATTATTATGTACCCAAAACACGACCCCAGAAGCCGCCAATCCCCAAAACTAAACCCCCCACTACAACTGAACGGCTAGGCCCTAAACCACCAACACCTTGACAGTTCCAGTTGTACTGGGTCTCCATTCATGCGATTTACCTCAGCTGCAGCTGGAGATCGAATGTTGTGTGGAAGTGCGTCATAGATGCCCGAAATCCCTTAAGCTCCATCACACCGATTAGATAGTGCGTGTATATATTTATTGCGTGTGGGTGTGTAAATATGCTTATAAATCTACATGTAGATTCTAGGGAGCCCTTCGGCCACATTAGTCCATCGTGCAAGCCATGAGTCACTGCAATGGAGCTATGGGTATTTTCGTATTTTCGGTTGGGGCTGGAAGACGATGTTGGAAATTAGCTTTGTCAAGTTGAACCACCTTTCCTTTCGCCCGCAACGGCTCCCAACTAGGTACCAACATCTTTTCCTGAGCTGTAGGCTTGAAGGCAAACATTCATTGCACGAGTACGTACCTTCCCTATCCTGAGGTCCTGTTGTTTCAAAAGCCCATCAGACCCTAAGCGATCAGTCAGCGAAAGAAACCCAACACCCAAAGCCCAAACCATACCTTTAAGCCCTCAATCCTGAAGCCTGCGGCTTCGAATCGCTGTTTAGGGTTTAGGGTTTGGGGGTTTATAGGGTTTTTTTGTTTTATGGGCCCTTTTCCGTCTGCAGATACAGTGGTTTATAGGGTTTCGGGTTTAGGGTTTAGGAAGCTAGTTTCGCAAGGACAGACTTCCTTTTGCACTAAGCATGGCCTCAAGCGAGAACCTACGCAGGGCATTCGGGGAAGCGAAGCCTTTGAACCGGCCCATAACCTTGCAAAAAGTGGCTTAGGGTTTAGGGGCACAATGTCACGGAATGCACATTACATTGGCTTGCATGTTCGATGGTTTACCTGCTTGAAGATGACTCCCTAAACCCTGCCTCAACCCTTAATACTGCCTTAATACAGCCTGCCATTTGTTTTTTTTGTTTTTTTTGGGGGGAGGTTCTATTTGGCGTTACGCTACACCCTAAACTTTGGGTTTGGGATGCCTGAAGACAACCACAGTCATGTTCCATCCGATGACACATGCGAAGAACCCCAAACCCACTAATTTACGCAGGGGCCTTAATAACCTTAATAGTCACAATAGGGTTTCGGGGTATACTGTACGCTAACTGTACGGAGGCCGTAAGGGAATGCTACCGGCAACTCATACTCCCGACCCTACGTTCAACACGTTTCCCTGCAAAACAGGCCCCCCAAAATCCCGAAAAGCTAGACCGGTGCAGCCCGGTCGCAGTGACTCGCATGCCACATCGAGTTCGCGACTCCCGCACTTCTGCAGGCAGAGACTCAGGGTTTCTCAAGGGGCCCCCCAAGATGGGGACGAAGCTATCTGTGGGGTACTCCTAAACTTAAGAGCCCTGATATATGGGATCCTTCGGGTTTCTCTTGGTTCGAAGAGAGGTAGAGTAATCCTAAAATAAGAGCCCTGACATGTGGGGGATCCTTCATCCCACCTTTTGAGACCCATCAGGATTCCAAAGTTGTAGCTTCACACCCTTCAAGAGGAAGATAACTGGAATGTAATTCCGGGCCTCTCTAGACTACTGTCCGGCTTTTCAAGTTGAGCTTCCATGGCCGACTGTAGGGCAGGGATGGGCAGGGCACAGCAAGTCAGCAAGTCCTTCCCAGCTGCAAAATTGGAACCCCGGAGGCCCCAACCAACACAAAAAAAACCCTAAATCCTGTAGATCCCCAAACCTGAAAAGCACAAAAACCATGTAACATAGCATCATCTATTATAGCACCTTTCTAGAACTGCATTATAAACAGTGTTACACAACTGCCTCATAAGCTATAGTACTCGGAAAACCCCAACACCCTCTTCAGCTTCCCAGTTCGCTGTGATCTACTTCGCATCCTGCTTGATAGAAGGTGGAAGATGTAGGTTTAGGGTTTAGGGTCTTAAGAGCTTGAATGGGTTTAACAAATAAATGTTAAGTTAAAGAGTTCATCAAGGGTTGTATACAGTCAGTGGCATAGGCAATCATGTGAGTTTCACGCTGCAGCCCTCACGTCCCCTGTTCCCATACTGCAACTGCATAAGGGGGCGGTGGTCTGATGGCAGCAGCTGGTGCTTGATGTCAGCCCACTCGCCATAACTTCGCACCCAAGTGCAAAAGCGCACCAGGAGGCGGGGGTGTCGGCGTTCAGCATCTCATGTGCCAGGAGGATGATGCCCCTTCTGCCAAACCTGGTCTTGGAGGCGGAACCCTGAAAGTGGTAAGGACGAGCTTCTCCGAGCAATAGAGCACCTTGGGTTCAAGTGGTTACCTTAACCTTCCAAAACCTCCTACTTTTTTTGGTACAGCCCCCTAGAAATCCCCTACCATGGACCCTAAACCCCAAATCCAAGACCCGACACCCCAAAAGGTAGGTTCTGGTAGGTGAAAGTAGATTTTTTTTCAGATCCCCGGCAGGGGATCTTCCGGCACCCAAACAACATCCTAGGGTTTAGGGGTTTAGGGCTTAGGGGTTAGGGGTTTAGGGGTTTAGGGTTTAGGGGTTTTAAAAATAATTAGCTTCGGGACTGTCGTAGGCTATATAGGGCTTTAGTCTTAGTTCTCGCTTTGGGTGGGCTTTAAGGTTGTTGGGGTTTTGAGTTTAGGATGGTGTTTTTGGGGTGGGCCGAATTGTTTACAAGTTTGGGTTCATCCGACCGCACCATTTCGGGCTTGGGGTTGTAGAAATAGGGGCCTGGCTAGTTCGACTACCGCTTTGCTCAAATGAAGTGCGGAACCCTGTTGAGGAATAGTGCAGGTACTCAGGTTTCTATAGCAGACTTAGGGCTTACGGTTTAAAGACCTAGGCCTAGGGTTTACAAAATTAAGGCTTTGTGGCTCTTGGCCCTCGAGGTAGGACATCTCTTCAGGACCCAGCATCTAAACCCTAAACCCCACGGTCTGCTTGACGAGGTTCTAGGGTTTAGGGTTTAGGGTTCTAGTAGAAATATGTCACAGAAGCATCAGGAAAAAATGCGAGCAACTCCCATCCCATATCTCAAGCTTTGCGGTTACACCCCGAACCCTAAACCCCAACACCGAACTCCTAAATCCGTACCCGAAACCCTGAACCCAAACCCTAAACCCTAGACCGTACATTCCTGTTGATGATAGAAATCCTGCATTACCTTAAGACCCTAAACTATGGGAATTCTGGTATAGTCAGTATAGTCCTTATTATTCTGGGGTAATGCAGGATTTATATCACCCTGAACCCCAAAACCCTAAACCCTAAACTGTAATCCCGAAACCCCAAACTACACTAAACTAGGACATCGTACCTTCCGGCATCAGGGAGACGAGTGAGGCGATCAAATTGTCCACCCAAACTTCTCCCTGCGTCTTCCTTAGCTCATTCAAGTGGGTTCTAGGGTTTAGGGTTTTCGGGCTTTAGGATTTTGGGGTTTGAGGGTTTGAAAGTTTGGGGCTTTAGGGTTTAGAGCCTTTAGAGTTTTAGGGTTTGAGGGTTTTAGGGTTTAGGGCCTTTAGAGTTTAGGGTTGTTGTTCTTTTTTTGCGTTGTAACTTCAAAAGCATGCTTCCTTAGCTCAGCTGTGTCTCACTGTGCTTCTATTTCGTGCTGCTCATATAGGTCCAACTTGTCTCAGCTGGTTTGCCGCTGTCCCTGTTTTGAGGGGAGGTGGGAAAGAGCCTGGGCCCGGGAAGCCAACAGCCGAAAATGCAAGTATTGATGCACCCAAAACCCTACACCCTAAAGCCGCACATGTAGTGCGGAACAACACATGCTTCGTTGGACCCCTGAAGAGAAGGTCACTCTTATTTTCCCATAACCTGAGGCCGGAAGAACGGCCTCATTTCAAGGAGCACCCCAAAGCAGAGACGGTGCCGGGTTTGTTGGGGTTAGGGAGATGGCCTGGGGTTTCAAGGGGTTGGGGAATTCAAAATGCACTCTGTCTTGCCGGCGAGATACTTGCGAATCAGCACGTCCAGCGCAGACGGGTCTGTGCAAGAACAAATGCGCTGCCCATCGAGTTCACATGCCTGGAGCGTTTGCAGCTTTTCAACTTCATGTGAATGTTACATGGGTTGCCAGGGGCTTTACTGTACAGGTGCGTGTCTGTATCTGGCCTAAACCCTAAGCCCTAAACC